GTCTCACATTGAGGTCTTTCATCCACTTTGAGTTTATTTTGTGAATGGTGTTAGAGAATGGTCGAGTTTCATTCTTCTGCATGTGGCTGTCCAATTTTCCCAGCACTGGAAAAAAAAAGAAGAGAGAGATACTGTCTTTTTAAACATCAAACTGTCCTCCGCTTTTTTTTTTCTTCAGTCTTCAGTTCCACCTTGGTCAGAGCTACACTTCATCACTTTTGAACTCTGGTTCCATGGGAAGGTTGTCTGCTTCCCTGGGGCTTCAGTCTTCTTGTCTCAAGAATGGGCTCATTTTAGCTTCAGCCTCACAACTTGCTGTCGGAATGGAACAAGATGCTTAGCACCATGCCTGGCACAGAGTAAACACTCATAAATTTTAGCTCCTAACCTCATTATCATTAAAAGAAAAAAAAATATTTAGGCACTCTGTGTGTGTGTCTTCATCTTTGTATGCCAGTAGGTCTGTGTGTGTGCTGGTGTCTTTTTGTTTGTTTTAAGAGTACCCATTTTGTCCACTTGGAAATTCTGTGATGTCAGGAACATATTTCCTGAGCAATGGAATCAGTAAATAACCAGTGAACCAAAGCAAACATGAAATGTTACTGAAAGATTGAAGACCGTGTAGAGTCTGGGTTAGCAAATTCCCTGGGGACGATCATCAGGCACCAGTTAGAACTTCAGAGATAAAAGACATACCTCAGATGTCAGAAAGCAAGATGTTGAGGGGTATTTGGTGATGTATCTGGTTTCTAAACAGATGTTTTTGTGGTTTTGTTTTTCCAGAACCGTCTACAGGCAAATATTACAAATAATAACTATACAGACCCTAACAACCTCATGTTTACAGATATCATAATCTTGGGAATGGACAAGCAACCTACCAATTTTACCGTCGTACTTAGTAGTTCTGCCACCTCCATTTCAAATGTTGCCTACAATGTTTCATCAAAGGTGGGAGACTGTTCCATCCTTGCGGTGCCCTTGTCAAAAGCCCTGGGCTAAGATTCTGACAGCCAGCTCTCCCTTGCTCTTTTGACTTTGGGCAGTTACAGAGACAGCTGGCTTGCTGCATGCAAATCTACCATACCACAGGGCAGTTGCAGAAGGAGAAACATATGCATGCTAAATATGGACTCCTGAGCTTGGTTTGTATCAGAACACTGAAGAAGACAGTGGGAGCTGGGACCCTGAGGCAAGGCAGCTCTTCTCTGGGCAGATTTAAGACTAGACCTGCAGATTGCAGATGTGATACAGTGAAAATATAATTCAATACATTGGCCTAGTTCTGGAGAGTATTTAAGTTACTCATTTAAGTTAAAGACTCTCTTTGTTTGAGACACAGTTGACACACTACTTTTATAGCATTACAGAAAAGGAGAGTTGAATAGAACATTAGGGGTAATTCAGTTCTGCCCTTACTGAATGAGTACCTTACATGCTAATCTTTAACAAAAGGTTCCAATTGTCAGTTGACTATTTCAAGTGCTGGGAAATTCACTATCTCTTAGGGCAGCACCCTTCCATTTTGACAATGCAGATAGAAAAAAATAAGAGCCTGGTTTCTGTACGAAGCAGAATGGGATTCCAGTCCTAGCTCTGTTGTTTCCTAGCTGCGAGATCTTGGGCAAAGCATCAAACCTCTCTAACCCTCAGTTTTCTATTTTGTGAAATGAAGATAGCCATATTATTTGCAGCATAGGATTACCTTCGAGGATTGATGGACATAATGCATATAAAGTGGTTATCACAGTGCTTGGCCCCTATAAATGCTCCATAAAGTTTAACTGTTGTTATTACTGCCATCATTATTACAATGTGTGAGCACCACACCCAGAGGGCTGTGAGTCTGACAAAGACAGCTCTGCTTGTGATCTGTACTCCTTCATATGATGAAAGCCCTTCCCATTCAACATTCCACAGTGACTCCATGAGGTGAGAAAGGTCAGGAATAAGCCAAGTTCATTTTCCCGACAGGGAGGTCAAAAGCTCCAGAGGATAAAAAATAATATTCCAAATAGCCCATGACAAAGTGGATGAAGGGCTAGCTCCCCTTCCAGATCATCAGGGAAGGACATTAGCCGGGTGGCTCAGCCTCACCTTATTTGCCGTGTGGCCTCTCCTTCCTCAGGTGGTGAAGATCAGTGATCTCAAGGGACTGGTACTCGGTCAAGAATTCTCCATTGAATGGAAACTTCCAGTCAGTGACCTGGAGAAATTCAACTGCTACCCTGAGGGTGCTGCTGTCTCTGAGGAGAGGTGTAGGCTGCGGGGGTGCCTTTGGGAGGTAATAATCAGTGAACAGATTACCACAGTGAGCAGAAGTTGGAAAAACTGTCCCATGAATAATTAGGCACCTAGAAAACACTTCCCAAATGTTGCTGGGTTGAAGAGTAATCATCCTTCAGGAAGAAAATGACACTATGTCAACTGATAAATTATTTTGCCAACTCCGTGTGAGAAGTGATCAGTGTTTTCCTCAGATATCCCAAATCAGAAGACACTCTCTCTTTCCTCCAACCACAGCATTTAAAACCCCACTTTTATTTTTAACACAACAGTAATACGTTGGGTATGCATTGTGAATTGAGTATTTTAAGTGAGGTGGTTTTTTTGTTTTTTTTTTTTCCATCTATTAGAGAGTCCTTGTGGAAGGTAAGGTAAGACTGTTTGTCTTCATTTGAAAAATAGAATGAAAGCCAGAGAGATTTCCTCAAGGTCACAATGGCAGCAATGAGAACGCTGGAGCAGAAGCCTGACTGAGGATTCCAGTCTCCAGATCAGGCTTACTGCTGACCCTTCCTTGTCCACCCAGTAGAGGAGGCCAACGGGCATGTGTTTTTTAAATGGATTTAAATCATTTGCTGGTGCTGTCATAACAAAGTACCACAAACTAGGTGACTTAGAACAACAGAAATTTGTTATCTCAGAGTTCTGGGAGCTAGAAGTGTGAGATCAAGGTGTCAGCAGAGTTGGTTCCTTCTAAGAAAAGGGAGGGAGAATCTGTCTCATGTATTTCTCCCAGATTCTGGAGGTTCTCTGGCACTCATTGGTCTTGCTTGGTTTATAAAAACATCACCCTGGTCTCTGCCTTCCGCCTCACATGGGGATCTCACTGGGTGCAGGTCTGTCTCTGTGTCTAAATTTCCCCTTTTAATGACACCAGTCATATTGGATTAGGCTGATCTTAATGATCTCATTGAACCTGATCATCTGTAAAGACCCTATTTCCAAATAAGGTAACTTTCACAGATACCAGAGTAGGACTTCACATCTTATGGGGGTGGGGGGATCATAATTCAAGCCATAATAACGGGCATGGTGTAAGAGACTTAGTTTGTGTGAACCAACTTCTCCAGGAATCAGACCCTCGAAGTATGGTGTTAGAGGCTGATGGAGAATTTCTCCTCTTGTTCTAGTACACAACTGTTCCTGACGTGCCCACCTGTTACTACGACACCATCCCTAGGTATGCCGCCAGTAACATTCAGTACCTGCCTACGGGCATCACCACAGACCTTGCCCACCTGGGGGCCCCGGAATCAGCCCGAGCAGCCCCTGCCTCTGGCTCTCTCTCGGCAGCAATCAGCTTCCTCCAGCTGAGCGTGATCTACCACACAGAAAACATGCTGCAGTTCAAGGTAATTTCCAAGGTGGTTCAGGTTCTGATCCTCAACACAGAGTTCTTACAGCTCCATGTGGACGAAAGTCACTGAAACACCGTTGGTCCAAATCCATCATTTTATGGACAAAGGCACCATGGCCCAGAGTGGTAAAGGTCAGAGACTTAGGAGCATGGTAGAACCAGGATGTGACCTTGGATCCACCAGGGTTGTGAATGTCCTGCACTGCCAAGTGCTCAGTCATAAGTGTCCTCAAAGAACCCCTTCTTAGCCCTGTGAAAAAAGGTGTCTGCTCCATGGGAAACTCATACAAGTGGCATTGACCCACTTCCAATGTTAGAGTTATTTCTCTAGCAGTGGTTCTTAAACTTCAGAGAGTACCAGAATCACCCACAGGTCTCCTTAAAGTTCAGATTGCTGGGCCTCTGCCCTGGAGTTTCCAGTCTGAGAGTCTGCTTCCCAAACACGTTTCCAGGTGATGCCGATGCTGCTGTGGGTGAAGGGCCACACTTTGAGATCCACAGCTCTGCTCTGAGGGGAGTACAACGTGAACCACATGTATTTCCTAATAGCCACACTCTTAAAAATGTATTTGAAAAAAGTCAAATGCAATGCATTTTAATAACAGTTTATTTAACATGCTGAAATATTATCTCACCACGTAATCCAAAAACAGTTACTGAGATATTTTAGAATCTTTTATTCATACTAACTCTTCAAATTTTGGTGTGCAGTTTGCACTTATAACAAGTCTCAATTCAGATTAGCACCTGTAGAGCATTCAATGGCCACAAGTGCCTGGTGGATCCACTGCTGGGTGAGTTAGAGACAGAGACTACAGTAGGCGGAGCTGCCTCACAAGGTCATCTTTATGTGTACCAATAAGGAGATTTCAGGGAATGATTTCCAAAGCCAGTGACTCCCCAACAGGGGTAAACAGGCTCCTTTTGTTAGGGCCTGCGATGAATATCAGAAGGGGGTTTTAACATTATAATGAAGCGGAGTTAATTGTGCCATCTACACAGACCTCTCCTCAAATGTTTCTTTTCCTGTTCCAGCAATTCCATAGTTAGTTTCTAAAAGAAAAAGTTAGAGTTAGGCAGAAGCTTCTAGGAGTTTCCTGAGTTCAGGGGGTCAGCTTTGAATTCAGGGGGTCACGGGGGTCTCATCAGTGACAGTACCACCTTGGACAACCAGCTCTAAACATTGTTTTTCACACTGTGTTGGAGGAATCACTCCAGGGATCTTGTAAAAATGAAAATTCAGATTCAGAAGTTGGAGGGGAGGGAGGCCTGGGATTTTGCATTCCTAACAAGCCTCCAGGTTACACTGCTGCTTTGGGTCTGAGAAACACAATTTTAAGAAGCAGGGCTACAGGCAAAACTTGTCTTAAGCATCTGAAAGCTCAACCAGTAAGATCTGAGTCCATATAAAAACTTGGTTCTCTAATTTCTGACATACACATACATGCCCAAACATAATCTTAACACAATTACGTGCATGTACATATTCACGTACTCATAAACACGCGCGCACACACACACATTCTATCCATGAAATTCTATACACTGAATTCATAAATTATTTAGAGGAAGTGTCCTCCCTGCTTCTGAATAGGTATTTCTGAGGCATTTTGGAGTTCAGGATCCATATTGGGCACTGTAGGTGGGGAGGCTTCGCTTCTATTTGCTTTGGGATATTTGATGCCTCCCAATATGATTCAAACTGGCCAGAAAACATGGGAACTGAATTATATGAGCTGGCAGGAGGGATTTTAGGTCTAAGATTATTCCATCAGAAAGTTTCCTTCTCTCTTCTTGTTAGATCTTTGATTCCACGAACAAAAGGTACGAGGTCCCAGTGACTCTGAACACCCCTCCCTCTCCAGTTGGCTCCCCTGAGGACCGTCTGTATGACGTCAGGATTCAGAACAATCCTTTTGGGATCCAGATTCGACGAAAAAGCTCCAGCACTGTGATGTAAGCACTATTTATTTAGTTCTCATTAAAGTGGTTCTAAGTCTAATTATGGTGGTTCTGATTAATGCCCATAAAATATTAATCTTAGAGACAATGTAAGTATGTGTGTGTGTATGTGTGTTAAACAGGGAGTAGACCTATTGCTCTATTTTCTACTAGTCACTAACTCAACAAGAAAAATTAATAAGAGGCTTAAAATAAGTGTTGCTTGATTTCAGAAAAAAGAAAAATGCATGTTCTACTCATTGTTCTTGTTAGGTAGAACAGAAAACTCTTTTTAATAAGCATGACAGATAACCTAGGATAGAAATCAGCTCTATATAGCCTCATTACAAAATAACAGAAGACTCAGGAGAGAGGGAATGTTTACTAAGGAAAGAGAAACAGTTTCTTACAATCAGCCCTGTAGACTTAAAGCCTTTTCCCAATATTAAATGTGAAAAAAGTTGTCATTTCTCATCCCTTGTCCTGCTGCTGAATGGAATGAAGTGAAGGTCTGGATTTTGCCTGGGGCTGAAGTTCCCCTTCCAAGTAAAAACCATCACGTGTAGGCACACATGTAGACAGCCTTTGGCTCTCTTTGACTGCATGTCTAACTTTGGTCAGTGGCATTCTTTGCTAAGAAGTCCTTTGGCCAATCAATAGAAGTCATTCTAAGAGCTTCACCCTTTTCTGTTGGGAAATTTGCTTAGACCTTGCTTATTTATTCATACATGTATTCAAACTGATACTCCAGACAATGATAACTAGAGATAAAGAGATGAGTGAGACATAGTTCTTGCCTTCAAGGAGCCCATGACGCAGAAAAAGCGTTCTCAGCCTTGCAGACCACAGAATAAAAATGCAAACGCAGAACGTTGGCAGTGAGTCATGGCCGTTGTTACGAGCCGTGTCTTCAGCCAGTATTTGAACCTGGATCCAGCTGTGCATTCCTTTAGGAGGCTTCAGAATCAACTAGAATTCCCAAATGGGCCCCGTGCTTGCTCTGGCCTGTGATCAGTACAATGTGGAGGTATGCCTTTGTGTTGCAGTTGGGATTCTCAGCTGCCTGGCTTCACCTTCAACGACATGTTCCTCTCCATTTCTACTCGCCTCCCCTCTCAGTACATCTATGGCTTTGGGGAGACGGAGCACACAGCTTTCAGAAGAAATATAAACTGGACCACGTGGGGAATGTTTGCTCGTGATGAGCCCCCAGCGGTAAGCACAGAAGAATAAGACTATCAATCAGTTTCTCTCTGTGTAAACTTATCTTAATCCATATGTATGTGTATAGTGCCCTATTAATCAGCTTCACCTTATATTGATAAATTCTGTTCTCAGATGAAATAGGCCACAGGTTATGCTCCTTCTGTCCCTAACATGTTTTTTCCTGTGGACTATGGATTTTACTTCACAAACTTTTCTTTAGTATATTCTGTGTGTCAGGTGCATGTCTTATGTAATAAAACGCTGTCTCTTCTCCAGGGGCTTATAGGCTAGTAAGAGAGAGAGATGCAGAATTAATGGTAATCCAGTATAATCAGTGCTATAATAGAATTACATAATAATAAACGAGGAAGACATGGAAGGGGAGGGCACCTGGTTTTTTATTTGGGGTGGAAAGGAAGATTAAGGAAGGTTTTATAAAGGACGTGACATTATGCTGAATCTTCAATATTGAATAGGAGCTTGCTGTTTGCATTATGATGTAGAAACAACTTTTCGAGTATTTCTTTTTTTGATTACTGCCTACTCTCCCCCATGGCTCCCCCAGTACAAGAAGAATTCCTATGGCGTCCACCCCTACTACATGGCACTGGAGGAGGATGGCAGTGCCCATGGTGTGCTCCTGCTAAACAGCAATGCCATGGGTAAGACAGAGGCATGTTCCCTGTGTACCACCATAACTAGCTGTGACCCCTTTCCTGGGATCTGGAATATCAATAGAAATAGAGAAATTCAAGGGCAAGGGAAATGGGATAGATAAACTGACTTTTCCTTCCTTCCTTCCTTCCTTCCTTCCTTCCTTCCTTCCTTCCTTCCAGATTTATGAAGAACCTTAGGCCAGGTATTAGCGGTAAAATTTTGACCAAATTGCGTGACCTTCTTTTACTGTGACAGTTTAACTTCCTTTCGCAGAGTGATACAAGATGTTGAGATTAAGATTATGTTTGGGGTACCTGTAAACCCATCTATTCCACTACATGAAAGAAAACTTTCCAGAGAAGGAGAGCTTTAAAGAAAGAGAGTGAAGAGTACATTTGAGGGCAGATTTCCTATCTGGGTGATGTATAGTTCCAAGGACTCCTTGTCTTCTTTTTTTTTTTTTTTTTAACAGATGTGTCATTCCAGCCCACTCCTGCCCTAACATACCGCACCACAGGAGGGATTTTGGACTTTTATATGGTTTTGGGGCCAACCCCTGAGCTTGTAACTCAACAATACACTGAGGTTAGAATTCACTCTATGCATTGATAAACAATCAAATGTTTATTGGGTATTACCATGTTCTTAGCACTGAGATAGGTCGACTTTTATTTCTATGTCTCTTGTGTATTCCTACTACGTTATTGCTGTCTTTCCTGAAGTTAGGTGCTAATGTTACAGGTATAAAGGCATAGAGATGCCACACGTGTCTCTTAATTATTTGCTGAGCATCCTAAGAATCTCTAATCAGTAATAGAGAGTGGAAGCTCCAGAACACAGGAGATTTTCTGTCATTCTGCATGCTGATGGTCATTCCATATTTATTTGACTTTCTGATTTTTCTTGAGCGAGGCCTCTGAGATTGGACAGTGCTCAGTAGAAGTGCTCAAGTTGCTTCAAGTATAAGACTTTTCTTCCCTTTCCCCAAAACTCTTCCTGGATCCATTTTTCTTTTTTATTCTAGTTGATTGGTCGGCCAGCAATGACTCCATACTGGGCCTTGGGATTCCAGCTAAGTCGCTACGGATACCAGAATGATACTGAGATCTCCCAATTGTATAAGGCAATGATGGCGGCCCAGATTCCCTATGTATGAATTCCCCCACTCAGTCCGTGGTTTGATTAGTTATGGGAATTTGTGCCTAATTATAGATTGAAAATGTCTTCAGGGAAACTATTGATGACTATTTCAATATAGGAAAATGTAGCTGTGGAGCTAGTCTTGTAGGAATACCATGCTTTTTAAATTTATTTCATGCCACCCTTTTAAATCAAGGGTTCAAAATTGAAATTTGCATTAATTCTTCAGTAATTGGCAGTGTGATTGAGGGATATTGTTACTCACTGCCTTTTGCCAGGAATATCCTGCAGTAGGCATGGCTGGTCTTAAGCCGTGACTTCGGGAACTTCTAAGTGAGAATCATGTCACGAGGATGACAACCCCAGATTATATTGTGATTGTTCTTAGAGAGGATGGATATAAAGTGACAGTATGAAAGAAAGCAGTTAAAATCAAGTCTTCACCTTCTCTAAAGCACACATATCCACATATGCATATCACACAATGACAATGTAGACCCCTTCATAAGCCAGAAGAAGTGTAGGCTATTGCTGTCAGCAAGCAGAAGTCCATAGATAGCATGTCCTTCCTCCTCTGTAATCATCAGTTTCTCATCACTTATGCTCTTTCTCTGCTTTCAGTCCACTTCCTGAGAGTTTAGAGGACAATTAATGACTGGAAGATGAGAATAAAGTGTTATGATGTTCTCATCAAAGATAATTTGAAATATTCATCCAGGCTTTAAGTATTTTATTTTTATATACTACTCTACCATATACTTATTAAATGTAAATTAGAAAAAATTGGAAAATTAAAAGATGAAAATTCCAGAGATCTACCTCACCAAGGTGATCAGTGTTAATAATATGTTGGTTTATTCTTTTCCAAGCTTTGGCTTTTGCACAAATCTCTGCTCCCCAAACAAGTTTTACCTAGAATCTGAAGACAATATGGGTGATTATCCTCTTCAGGCTAAAAAGAAGCACCTCTTTTTTTCAACTTCAATATTAACCACGTTAGCCATCACTCACCAATCCTGGATTGAGTGACTTTCACATGCAGAAGTCTGGGCTGGTACTGTTTAGAGAAAAAGGAAGACAAGGTTCTCATCTCATGGACCATCAAGTCAAATGGAATGGCAGAAATATACACATTCTAGAAAGCTATATAATAATATAGTTCTAAATGTGAATAAATCCAATCAGATTTACTGGAGGGGGGAAAATAAAACTACACTTTTCTGTTTCTCAGAGAAGTCCTGCTTTCTACTCTTGAACATTCAACTAGCACTTGGTTTGATGGGCTCACCAGTTTGAAATTTGAGGAGTGGAAAAGAAATGAATCGAGGGAGGGAAAGGAGAGAGAATTCCAATTGGGGGAACAGAAGGAAAAGGATGGGGACAGGTGATCCATATGTAGGAATCAGAAAGCAATTTCAATCAGCAGAATTGAAAAGTCAGTGTAGCAAGGTATGGGACAAATTAGGAGGGGCCTGGGCTGGGGTCAGCAGAGCCATCTGTGGGCCCTGCGGGATACTGCCATGGGATCCCCAGCATCTTGCTTGCTCCTTCCTGTAGGATGTCCAGCATGTAGACATCGATTACATGGACCGGAAGCTGGACTTCACTCTCAGCCCCAGCTTCCAAAACCTCGGTCTCTTGATTGAGCAAATGAAGAATGGTAGCATGAGATTCATTCTCATTCTGGTAAGTATTTAGAAGATTAGCGCCCATTTTCTGTTTCTGTGTTCATGGCTGTAAAATAGTACCATTGGGAGAAACTAGATGGAGAGTACACGAGACTTCCCAAACATTTTTTGCAACTTCCTGTGAAGCTATAATTATTTTTTAAAGTTTTAAAAAGCAAATAAAGGAGGACAGAACAAATGAAAAATGGCTTTCCAATGGTGATACTTTGCAATATTTATTTTTCATAATTGTCACTGGGATGTAATTTATTATTATGATTCCCTTGGTTAGAGTTAGAACTGTGGACTGAAACACTGAATATAGCAAAAACATCCAAAAATCGTCACTGTTTCAGGCTGTGCCTCCGAGGGAATAGCTATATTCTAGTCTCATCTTTACCTTAGGGGGTTCAAAAGCCACTCTAGTTGTATCATTACCCGGCAATGGTGAGGCTCAGGGGACTTACTTCTTAATTAAACTCACAAGCAACTGAGCTAAGATTCAGAACACCAATTCATTATTTTGCATTGGAGGCTATATTTTGATAAACACAGAAGTAGTTACCTGCAAACGGTCCTCCCTTCTAGCTTCCAAGAAATAGAGCATTATTTGCTGACTTTCATTCATTCATTCATTCATTCAGTTATTAATCAAATACTGGGTCTTTGAAAATCACTGTTCTAAAAAGTGTGTGTGTGTGTGTGCGTGTATGTAATCTAAATCAATGAATAAGACATTGTCCTTTTCCTTATAGGGATTTTATTCTACCAAACAGAGATAGCCAATAAGTAAACATTAAATAAAGATAATTTCAGATAGTGATAATTTATATGACAATTGTGAAATAAGATACTATTATAGAATAACTGAGGCAGGTATGGGATGGGGTGAACAGGGAAGCCACTTTGGACCCAGAACAGAAGAAAGAAGCTTCATGTTCTTAAGGAGTACTGATATCTGTGGGAGCACAATAAATTGGCTTTATTCATGGGAGGGTAATGTCTTATTAACCTGGTTTATCTCTAGGAACGTTTTCAAACAGCATACTTTATTCCTCAAGAATTTTATAGATATAAGGCAAATTATCTATGGGTATTCTGTTTTTGTTTTTTGTCTTGGAGATGTTTTTCTCATGTTCACTGTTTTAAACCCTTTCATTGCAGGACCCAGCCATTTCTGGCAATGAGACCCAGTATCGCCCATTCACCAGAGGGCAGGATAACAATGTGTTCATCAAATGGCCCAACAGCAATGACATTGTCTGGGGAAAGGTGAGCCTTGGGAGAAGATGCCCATAATTAATCAGCACCAGAATGTCTTGATTAAAAGAGGCTGTCAAAAAAAAAAAAAAAAAAAGAGGCTGTCAATAAATCTTGGCAAAATATATGGGTAATTAATAAATTATGAATGAGTAGAAATCTGCCTGATGCTGATTAATAAGACCAAGGTTACAGGTCTAATTCTCTAAAATATCAGTGAGCTTTGTTCTATTATCTGGATCTATTCTGGTGCTCCACCCCTTATGCATTCCAGTGGGTCATGTATCAAACCTAAAGAAGTCCTTTAAGAATGGCTCTGAAGTCTCTGCCTGCCAGGCACCCATACTCAAAACTTGTGTTCATCTTTGACCTATGATGCTTAGCATCCTCCATATCGAAATAAATCATTAAGCCCTGTAAATTCTCCCTCTCCTCAAGTCTCCTTTAGTTCCTTTTTGTGACCTCAGTCTTCATCTGTTTGATTTATAGCAACAGGATTGTAGGTGAACTTCCTAACCCCAGATGACAGAAGCTCCTAGGCACGATTCAGACTCTGCTCTGAATCGTGCTGTGCTATTTCCTGTTGTTCTAGGTGCATGCCATGCTCACCGTGCCTTTGAATGTTGCCTTCTCAGCTTACCCAAATAATACCTGCACTTCAAGACCAGCTCAAATGTACCCCCCTTGGAAGCATCCAATGACCAGTTTAACTCTCCCTATTTCTTCTTTTTCCTATATTAGTATCCTCAGAGAGGATAGCCTGTCACTTAGCACGCACATTTTATCTGTAAACTCTTAGAAAACAAGGACTAGAGGGACTCCTGGGTGACTCAGTGGGTTGAGAGTCCAACTCTTGGTTTCAGCTCAGGGTCCTGGGATTGAGTTCCACATTGGGCTCCCTGCTCAATGAGGAGTCTGTTTGAGGATTCTCTCTCCCTCTGCCCCTCCTCTCGCTCATGCTCTCTCTTCCCTATCTCTCTCTCAAATAAATACATCTTTAGGAAAAAAAAAAAAGAAAACAATGGCTATTTCTTACTTAAATCTCAGTAGATACAGTGCCTATCATGTAGTGTCAGTAAGCATTTGCTGAATGGATTAATTAATTAATGTATACAGTTAATGTCCTTCTAGATACAGATGAGATTGGTTGAAACTCTGGATTTTTTTAATGCTATGTGTATTTGGGGTCCCCAATAAGTGATAATGCTGCTTAAGAATATTGAGGCTAAGTTTATAGGTTGTGAATGAAATCAATCTTAGTTCTTTAGAGTCATGTTTTAAATTTGTTATTTTTGAAGAGAATTTTGTTATATGTCTATGACAGATCACAGAGCAGACATTTGAAAGGTGATTGTTCAGAGGATGTATTTAAAACAGATTTAGCTCATTTTATTTTTGAACTTAATGATTTTGAAAGCTTATGAAATGAGTCAAGGGACCCTAGCCTATTTTCCCCTAACAGAATTTCATATATTCAGATTTTACAATTTAATTAATGGCAAAGATCTCCAAGAATTTTATGGAGATGCATGTCATTAGAGTCTGACACGTGAATCATCTCATGGTCCATGTGCAATGCCTTTTAGAGGTTTTAATTTTTCTTCTTTTTCTCTAGGTTTGGCCAGAACTGCCCAATGTGAATGTGGATACATCCCTTGACCATGAAACTCAGGTTAAGGTATAGTTATGTGCAGATTTCTGTCCGCGTTGCCCTAAACATCTGGATACTTATGAGTCTTATCCCAGCACTTGGTTAAGCAGCTCTCTGAGCATGCTTGTCAACTGGTAATTTCTTGGTAGAATGAGATCCTCAAACAGAAAACATAATAAGCAACTAAACTGGAAATGTGTAGAGGGAAATCAAGTGAAATGTCTTCACGTGTATGCCTTTAATAGATTGTATTTTGTTTAAATCCAATGGTGCTTGAAAAATAATGAATTGAAGTCCAGAATATTTTCACTGGAGAGGTTATGAACAGACTGGGTTTTTGATGAATTGTCCCCATATAAGAAAATATGCCAGCCAGTTCAAAAGGGGTAATGTTTTTGAACTCAGCACTTGATGCCACATCAGCCTGGGCATCTAGCAGCCCCTTTAAACTCTGCAGCTCCCTTTTCCCTGGATGACTGGTCTCCTTTGTTTGACCAGTGTAGAAAAAAACATTTGTATATCTAAAGTTTGATCATTTAGACACAGATAGTTAATTTTGCAGTTCATAGGATTAAAGGCCCAGTCATTAAACAAATCTCATGTTTAAAGGGGATTTAACACTATCTAACCTCCTTCTAGGAGAATAATGAATGCAGTCAGCCTTCTCTGATCTTTGTGTTCACAGTAAACTCTGTAGAAGCAACAGCAGAGCCTGAGGCTAGTTTCAGACCCTGAGAGGGGCAGTGCCTTGCACAAGTACCTGCTCCTCACCCCTTCCTGGTCCCCAGACTCCCCTTCCCGGACAGCCGGACAGGCAAAGACCCAATGTGAGAGTATGTGTTTACCCCTACAGCTGTACAGAGCCTACGTGGCTTTTCCTGACTTCTTACGTAATAGCACGGCTGCATGGTGGAAGATGGAAATAAAAGAGCTGTATGCGAATTCTGAAGAGTCAGAGAAGAGCTTAAAGTTTGACGGATTGTGGCTTGTAAGTGCACGCTTAGTAGTTTTTCTTTGGAAATGTTAGGAGTCAAACCATGGAGAGGCAATTCAGAGACAAGCAAAGGAGGGAGCTAAGGCTGAAGGAGTGAGAGAGAGGGAGACTCTTATACAGTTGAGGTGCTGGACCCCCAGAGACACAGAGATGATTGTGGGTCTGCCCAGGAACATGCCTGCAGAAACCGAAGCCCATGGAGGATATGTGCCGCTACGGAAGATGCTGCCAGAGAAAGGGGGAGAGGGACACAGACCCCAGCTTCTCTTATCTCCCACCCTCCGGTCGCTGGCCAGTGCCTCCCATTGGCCAAACTACCCAGAAGCGGATGCTAGGGGAGCCTGAGGGCCCATCCTGTGATATAGGACGGAGCTGGGGCGGGCAAGGCATGAATCCAAGAGACAATAGGTGTTCACCATAGTGCTGGTACAGACTCATCTTCAAAGGCCGGTTCAGATGTTGCTTACACATGTCAGTTGGGCTTAAGAGCAGGGCTTCCTGAAATGTCTGCAGGACATGGTCCAAAGGCTCTTCTATTTGTGCTTTTCTAGGGATGGGCAGCATATCAGCATTCCAATTTTCTTCCTCACTGTCCAGTGGCCTGAAATCCTGAGCATATTCTAGGCCAGCTCTCAAGAGCTTCACAGGTCCGGGCTAGGCTGAAAGAAGCTCATAATTCACCCAGAGACAGACTTACAAGCCCCCTGGCCGCCCTGGGGTTTCTCTGGCCACTATTCTCAGGGTGGATCGGCCCAGAGCGGACGTATGAAAGATTAGCCCAAATATAGGCAAAGCAAATAGTGAAGAGCTGTGGGTAGCTTTGAGGACTAGGGGGATGATTGCTCTGGGATTTTTGTTCTGCTGGCGGGCAGATACGGCTGAAAAACTCAAAATAGTAAATAGTTCCCCAAATACTTGCCTTTGCCCTAGTATGTCCTGTTTAAGGTAGTCCAATTTACAAAATCTTAACTTTTCTGCTAACAAAGTAGGCAGTGAATTTTCACCTCAGGAACCACTACTTCTTGTACTTAAGTAATAAATCCCCCAAGTATGATTTGATTTCCAGATTTGGTTCTGAGTTACCCACAACTCTTCAGGACAGCATCTACTGCAGAAAGCGAGACACTCTTCCTTGTGTTTGGTCTCTGCTGGTGTCAGAATTAGTCCAAGCTACTGGACTAAGAAAGAGTAGGGGAAGATAATAGCAACCATTGGCCACAGATAAAAAGTGAGTAATTCACACATAGGAAAACAAAGATGGGTTTCTTGTGTGGGGAGATGTATCAAGGAATCTCCTTAGGTCATGGATTCAGCATAATCTCCATATTTTTGCTACTGTGAAGTAATCCTCACAAGTTTAAAAATGCCAGGTAAACTAGGAGTTTCACACTCTACTTAGATGAACATGGGTTCTTAGAGTCCATTTGGGTCAATGCCTTAGAGTAAACAGAGTCAATGAAATTATTAGCTGAGGGCTTAAATAAGATGTGTTCACCTCTGTGAAGCGGTGTCCTTCAGAGCCAAGGCCACACTGCCTCTGACATCACAGAATCTTTCTTGTTAACTCATTGCAGGATATGAATGAGCCATCAAACTTTGTGGATGGATCTGTCAGGGGCTGCAGCGATGGAATTCTTAATGATCCACCCTATATGCCATGTATGTAAATGATTCCTTCATCAAAACTCTGAAAGTTCTCCTCTTATTGTCAAAGCAAAGCCTAATTTTGGAGAAAGAAAATACTTGTACACATGACATAAAATCCCAAATAGAATAACCTTGAACAAGTGTGAATTACTAATCAGACATAGAAATAATGACATGATGTATTACGAAAGAAACCAAGCAATGCATGATTACATTTGTAACTATGAACTGATTGCTCGCACTTTAAACAACCCCCCCACCCCGACACACAGAATATTTTGATTAAAGAATGAAAATCTAGGCTCTGTACTCTCTGCCCATGTCCACAGACTCTTCATGAAGGACATGCCCTAGTAGTCCTGTGGTACAAACGGAAATAGAGCATTATAGGACCTTACCATCAAAGGCATCTCAGAAAGTTGAATCCTCTCACCTTACAGAAACCCAGGGAAGGAAGCAACTCACCTTCTTAGAAGCACCAAACAAGTAGTTTGTGGGACAGAATCTGCTAAGTTTCTTGACGTTTAGTCATGGTTATGCTGTCCAAGTCTCACTAACACCTGTGTTCCTTTCCCTCCTCCTTCCCTCCCTCCCCTCCTTCCCTCTTTCCTTCCTCCCTTCCTACCCTTCCTCCCTCAATATTTATGTATCAGACAAGTGCTAACAAATCAGAAAATTTAGAGACCTTCATACAGTTGATTGAAACAAGATCTATTCCCTTGAGAATGTTACCATCTAGTGGGAAAAAACAGTCATAACAACAAAGGAGTTTCTTGTGCTGATAAGTGGGCTCTGATGGCACTCTATAAATAGCAGAGGACAATGAAGCGTGCCTTTCCCAGCTCCACAGCCTGTCCTTACCCTTCATTAGTTATAAAGTCACAGCAGGTTGATTTTGTAGACAAAATAATTCTTGAAATTGGAACTGTTATGGGTAACAAAGTCGTTGAGTGAAATGGAGAAATAGCAAGCTAATGAGCATTTCTTGTGAGTGCACAAAGCAAGTTGTTCGGGAAGTAACTCGCATTTCCGCTCAGATTTGGAGTCCCGGGACAGGGGCCTGAGCAGCAAGACCCTGTGCATGGAGAGTGAGCAGGTCCTGCCAGATGGCTCGCGGGTGCGGCACTACGACGTCCACAGCCTGTACGGATGGGCCCAGGCCAGACCCACCTACGAGTGAGTGTGTTCCTAGAGTGGCTGCCTCAATCCCCAGAGCATGCAACTCTTGATCTCGGGGTCATGAGTTTGAGTCCCATGTTGGGTGTAGAGATTAAACAAATAAATAAATAAACTTAAAAAAAAAAAAAGGAAGAAACCTGCCTAAAATTTAGTCAAACTGAAGGGAATGTTAAGGCCTTCCTGGTCCCCTGGATTCCTTGCCTCTGTGTCTTCCACCCTTTGCCAAGGGGACAAGTAGGAGAAGCCACACCCTCACCTTGAGGCGGTTTGTAAGACCTTTCGCTTCCTGCTGACTCAGGACCTCAGGTGCAGCCAGAAGTGAGTCACCAGAACTTTCTCCTTTCATGGCTCTTTGCTGGGCTTGCCCAGAGCCTTGTGCATGTGCTGTCTTTTCGGTCCCCAGGAATATGTAGGAGCTTTACAAAGTTCTCCCTGGTGCTACTTCTCCAGGATTTACTCTAAGACCAGCTGAGCTTTGTTTGTCCCAACTGAACCCCAGTCTGAATACCTATGATGGTGCCAGAAAATTGTTATTGTTTTGGTAATTCCCTGGCTTGAGAATTTGTTTTCCCCTGCTGAGTTGAGCTCTGAGTCCAATCAAATGGCCACAACACCTTGGGAATAGAGATTTTCCAGGGGGCTGGATGCTAGAACAGAAGTGTTAATTATGCTCGGGGGCTGGTGCTTTCCACAGAGCCCCCAGAGAGGTCAGACCTCTGAGGCTGCTGCAGGGCTGCTGGCTTTTGGAGCCACTGAACTAGGGATGGGGTCAGCTGAGAACAGCCCCAAGTTCAAATCCCACACACCGCGCTGTCCTGCCAAGATTTAGCGGTTTTTCTTGGATAGACATTAGTCATTTCTTTCTAGAGCTGGTTAATTTTTAGAGTTCTGCAATGGTCAGTGACAAAGCTCTTTGCATCACTCACATCTACCCTTCCTCTCTATCCCTGCCTTATTTCAGGCCTTCATTATCTCTCAGACATGTGTGTGTGGAGGGCAGGGGTATGTGGGGGGGTGTGTCCATCCACGTGGGGGTTTATGTTGGTGTGAAATATTGGAAGTGACCTAATGGATTAATCTTTACCCCAGTAGTTTTCCTGACATCATTTACTGAATAATTCATCTGTGTCTATTGATTTGTAATGCTTTCTTCAGCAAATATGTGGATTGCATTATGTACTCGGATCTGTTAATAGCCTTTCTCTTTTTGTTCCATTGATTTTCCTCTCACACAATTGTTTTTATTTTCTTACTGAGACTGCAGGCAGAAGACCCGCCTTCCGTAGCCAGATATTTGAACACCTTTTGTGTATATTTGTCCTTGTGTGCCAGATTTATCCCACTTTGTGAGGAGTAGCACAGAGAGAGAGTATTACCAAAGAGCTCTAGTCATATATACTTTTATTTGGATCCTGGCTCTGCCTCCTTGGTCTTTAAATGTCCTCTGACAAATTGTCTAATTTCTCTGAGCCTCAGTTTTATAACAGTAAAAGGAGGCCAAGGAAACCTTCTCAGGAGGTTGTGAGGCAGTAGACATGGGAGCGACCAAGCTGATACCTGGTTCGAGTAATTGTTCCGTAAACACCTGTCTCACACCTCACCCCACTCCTTCCTGCCACCTCTATGTAGGCAACTAGTTAATTCAATTTTTTTTTTTTAAGAAAGGAAATCCACATTTAGGGGATGATGGATCTCCAGTTGTCCTGCTGTGACTCTTAGCATCACCTTTAAATAGTAGATGCTTCCAGGGAAGACGCTTTCTGGCTCCAAATGGAAAACCATTGCCACCTCATACTCCAGACTGGTGCGGCTCTCTGTAATGAAGCCCCACGGCTGTCCATCTTCGAATTCACCCCCAATTCACCTCCTTGTTCCCTTCCAACCAGAGCTGTGCAGGAGGTGACGGGACAGCGAGGGGTCATCATCACCCGCTCCACATTCCCGTCTTCTGGCCGCTGGGGAGGCCACTGGCTGGGTGACAACATGGCTGCGTGGGACCAGCTGAGGAAATCGATCATTGGTGTGTGGGCTTCCTCCCAGGGGCCTCTGCTGGCAGGGAGGGGACTGGGTTGGATGCCCGCGGCCACATTGGTTATGTCTACGTATCATCCACATGGGCAGAGAAAGCAGCAGGCGCTGACTTCTCTGTGGGTATGAGTTGTAGTCTCTACCCATATTTGGATACTTTCATCATGGGTGGCCCAGGGCTTCGAAATCGGATATGGAAGAGACAGGGCAAACCTACCCTCTGAAAGGGCTACTTTGTCCAACACAGCCGTGTCTTCTCATTGCAGGCATGATGGAGTTCAGTCTCTTTGGAATACCATATGTAAGTTACATTGGGACCATTATTAATTACTCAGTCGGATTCCAGCGTGTCTGCAACCTACAAAAGTCCCACCTCATGTTCTGATTTTGCATCTTCTCAGACAGGAGCGGATATTTGTGGCTTCTTTGGAAATGCCGAATATGAGATGTGTGTTCGCTGGATGCAACTGGGGGCCTTTTACCCTTTTTCCAGAAACCACAACACCATCGGGACAAGGGTGAGGTGGCAGCTGGTGCTCAAATCACAACTTCTTTATTACCCTCAAAAGTAGCAGACTTCTTTGTTGAGGAAAAATCATAAAAATCAGAACCTCCATTTCATAGAAAACCCACAGAGTTCAAAACCCCAGAGTTATAAGCAATCCTCAAGAATATCCTTTTGCTCACGTCTTGGGGAATACATGCCTATGAGGACAGTAGGGTTTGTAGCTCCCTATGGGGCTAAACTAGAAGAAGCTCCTTTTCCTTAGAGAATTTTTATTTTACTCAAATCCATCCAAGCTCCATCAGTGCTGCAGAGAGACCCATCTCTCCAGCCCTGTGCAGGGGACTTAGGAGTCTGTGATAAAGAATGGGAAGCAAGTAGCCCCAGTTTAGTTGGACAGCAGGGGCAAGAGAAAGGATGGGATAGAAATGAAGGGTGGGATCTGTGTAACTGGTACATGGGACATGTGTCTGCTGACCTTTTTCTGATAGCGTTAGGATGGCATAAAGAGATATCTGACACGTGTTCCTTTATCTCTTTAGAGACAAGATCCTGTGGCCTGGAATTCCACCTTCGAGATGTTCTCCAGAAAAGTCCTTCAGACCAGATACACCCTGCTGCCCTACCTCTACACTTTGATGCATAAAGCTCACGTTGAGGGCAGCACTGTCGTCCGACCCCTTCTCCATGAGTGAGTGCAGCCAGTTCCCCCAAGCAGAGGTTCTGGCCATGTCTGGGGGAGAGCCCTCTGCAACAGTCCTAACACTTTGGTAGGGTTTTCATACTTTTTTTTTTTTTTTTAAGGTTTACGAATGACAACAAAACATGGGATATAGACTGTCAGTTCATGCTGGGTCCTGCCCTCTTAATCAGCCCCGTGCTGGAAAGTGTGAGTTTTCCATCATAGATCAGAAGCCCTCAGTCACATAATCTCAAGTACAAGAAGGGCATTTTAAAGATCATCTTGTCCTGCTCGCTGTTTTCCAGCAAACACCTTTCTAGAACACACAAGGGAGACCTTTTCCTTTTTTCAAAATCCCCATTAGTGAAAACCTCACAACCCCAGCTGATTTCTCATTTTAGTGTCTTGTTACCCCGCATCGTTGTAAAGTTTACCTTTTTAAAAAATTAAGTTTTCTTTATGTTTGAAGTAAAGTTTACCTTTTTAAAAAATTAAGTTTTCTTTATGTTTGAAGAATTTTATCATATCTTTTTCAATTAAACTTCCCAAACTCAGGGTGCCTGGGTGACTCAGTGGGTTAAGCATCTGCCTTTGGCTTGGGTCATGATCTTAGGGTCCTGGGATTGAGCCCCATGTCTGGCTCCTGGCTCAGCGGGGAGCCTGCTTCTCCCTCTGCCTCCCCCTCTGTGCTCTCTCTCTTTCTCTCAAATAAATAAATAAAATATTTTAAAAAATCTTAAAAAAAATGTTAGAACTTCCCAAACTCTTAAAATCATTAATAAAATTCCCATTGTTATCTTAATTCTACAGAAAGAATTTTAATAATTAAGTTATTGGAATATACATAATAATGTGTCAATTTTATGTTTCAGAACACTTTTGAGACCCGTGCTTATTTTCCCAGGGGCCGTTGGTATGACTACAGCACGGTAAGAACTCAAATATTTTGTGAAGAATCAAACTGGTCCTTGCTGGCTAGAGGGGTGGCCAGCACTTTCTCTTGACCTTGAGGCACATAATTTCTAAGGCAATAATTTTCAGCCTTTCAGCCAAGCAAGGTTTGCTTAAATAAAAGTATCCACAAAAGCATAATTAGGTAAAATGTAACACCCATAACACATTGACTTCTCTCCCACCCCCACCCCCACCTGTTCTGGAGAATACAGAGAAAAGACTAGATTTCCAGAGTTTTTAACAAAACTGAAATCAGAGATTTTTTTCTTCTTTTACTTGCTCTTTCTTGCTGACTTTCGAACATGCTTCCTTAGAAAGACTTGTATTAAAGCGTGCATCTATTCATTTCATCTCTTTATCTTCATCCTTTCTTGCTTATATTCTGTCTCCTAGGAATCTGGCAGTGTGTCGACAGGTGAGTGGAAAATCCTGGGCGCTCCCCTTGACCACATCAACCTTCATATCAGAGGAGGCTACATCCTGCCTTGGCAAGAGCCTGCGATGAACACTCACGCCAGGTAAGGAGGAGTGATGGTACTGATGGCCTCACTTTGTCATAATGAGGCATCCTCACAGACGCTGTCTGCCCTAACCAGGGCTCTGTGGATAAAGAAGCCCAATTATAGACCCTCTCATTGATGCAATTCCATAAGTGCCTTCTAACTGGGATCTGGGGGAGAATGCATTCATGAAGTCAGTCTTGGGGAGATCTTTTATCTGTAGCTCTGTGTCCCAGGCCTGGGGCAAAAATTTTCTTTAATTTTTATTTTATTTTATTTTATTTTATTTTT